TTCTGCTATTCTACTTGCAGTGAAATTTTTGTCTGTTCCAGTGTTGCTTTTAATGTAAATGGTTTACTTAGATTTTCAACATTAAATGACTCTGTAGCAAATTCTTCAGTATCCGGATTTTCATGTAAAGTAAAATTAATATCCTTTACATCTTCACCAGGATCTACAGTTGTAATATTTTGAGTGAATGGTGCTGTTCCCTCTTTGAACAATTTAATAGTTTGATCTAAATACTTCATATAAATATCTCTTCCCAAAAATTCTACTTCAGTATTAACATCTGTAAAGTTAGATTCAGGCATGTCTAGTAAAAGTCCAGCTTCATAAGCACAACCCACAGCAATAACTTCATCAGGGCTGATCCCTGATAAAACTTCAGCCTTGGGTAATAGATTAGCAATTGCAGATTGTAATTTTGGTATTTTCATACTTCCACCACACAGAACAATTTTGGAAATTTTGCCCTCAAAACTCTCAATTGCTTTTTGTGCTGGCTCTATACATGCTGTTACCCTTGATGAAATTATGTTTTCAAATCTTGCTCTTGTTACATTTTGGCTCCAGTCTACACCATCTACGAGAGACTCAATAAACACATGCGCTGAGTTTAGAGTTGACAGGACATGTTTACAATTATCTGCATGATGCAGCAACTTAGCCATTGCTCTACGACTTTCATGAGGGTCTAACTTCCATTTTTGTTTGAACTCTTGAGCAATGTACTCTGCAAGATCTTGAGTCAAACACTGTCCTCCTAAATCTGAGCGGAAGATGTTTTTCTCAACAGACATGAATCCACCCGATACTTTAACAATTGAAGCATCACAAGTAGATCCTCCTAACCTATAAACTAAAACATTCAATTCATCGGAGGCATCTTCAGTTATATTATAAGCAAGCAATGCTGCTGCTGGTTCACTAATAACTTGGAGAACATCAAAACCAGCTAATTCAGCACATTTTGTAAGTCTGTCCCGACTAGCACTTGTCCAATGCAGGGGTGCTGCTACAACTAATTTCAAATCACCATCACTTCCTACGGAATGACTGGCAATAGTGAATAGTTTCGAGTAGATTTTTGTGGCTATTTTATCTGGATTTAAACAAAGAGTTGTTTCACTTGTCTCAAACTCATATACAACTTTTTCCTCATTTTGTATACGACATGATGATGACGCTTCTACATATGCTAAATCTTCTTCAGTAAAATCACAATTCATAAGACGTTTATTATGTTTTATAATTGATTTGGATGACGGTTGCCCCGACTTGGCTGGTAGACCAATTTCCCATTCTGAAGCATTCAGTGCCACTATCGCAGGAGTCACTCTATCACCTGCGTCGTTAGCTATCACAGCAGGGGCTCCATTCGAATATGCAGCCAAACATCCAGAACTGTTACCAATATGTATTCCGTATGCAGTAGCCATCTCTTTAGAGGTTATGTATCCAATTTATTTTACACAATTTATTTGAATTAATAATATAGATAGCATTAAGACAAATGTATCACTTTACCTACTCAATAATACTTTTAAAAGTAATTTTTAATGGATTTATAGAAATTGAAAACTTCAAAGTTTTAATGTGTGGTCAAAGATTAAACATAATTGACAATTGTTAAAATTAATTTTTACTTTCGAACCATATATTTTACCAAATAAAAATTATAACTTTCAAATGGCGAATTAATTATAATTTGGCCTTTCACAAAACTGTTAAGGTCAGGAGAAAAATCGATTATTAACAAAGTTTTTATGTCGTCTGTGTTATCTTTTTTAATCAAGCTGTGAATTCGTTCTGTCAGTGTCATTTTCATTTGTCAAAATTGATATCAACAAAATAGAAAAACATTATATTTTTAGGATTTCACCGTACTCCGTTATTTAATAATATATTTATGTTAAATTGAACACTGTTGCTTTGTTAAAGGCAAAAGTAATGTTGTTATACAGTTTAATGATCTTTTATATCGTACTTAATTCATCTTTCAGTATTAAAATTGAAGACATTAGTAAACATTTAGGTACTAGGACACCTTATAGATTCAGGTATAATAAAGAAGACTCCAAGATTATATATCCACGTAAGTAATGCACAACATTTCTAATTATCGTTGAAATGTGTTACACTAATTATTGTTTACTTTAGGTTGCAAGGATACCAAAATATGGATGGTAGTGCGACATGGTACAAGATTGCCGAGTGCAAAGGATATACTAGGTATGAACACAGTTCTGAAAGATTTGAAACATGAAATATTGATGCAACATAAAATTGGAAAAGGTATGTTTATGTAGTTAATATATCTGACAATTCAAACTATAATTAATGAAATATTAAGGAAGTTTATAAGTGAATGTGTATTTTAAAGGATCCTTGAGTTCAGAACAATTGGAGGATTTTGAGAAGTGGTCTAACAATTTAGAAATTGAAAAAGAAAAGTATTTGACATATGAAGGGCAGAATGAAATGATATTGCTGGCTGAAAGAACACAAAAGAGATTTCCCAATGCTATAAGAAAAGAATATAACAACAAAACCTTTGAGGTAATTGTAAAAAATATTAGCAAATTCCATGTTTTTACCATTTTTGTATGAAAAAATAACAGAATTTTGGATCTGTAGGCAATTGCTTGGTTATTTTTTCCAGTTTCGATACACAGCAACACAAAGAGCCCAGCAAAGTGCAAGATATTTTACAGTTGGACTATTTGATAGAAAAATATCTCAACAAGTCGTATTTGCTCCAGCTACTAAAATAGATATGGTTCTAAGGGTGCGTTTTTATTTATTTTTTAACAAAAAAAGCATAATTTTTAAAAACAAATTTTATTTAATTAAACTTAAGTTTTACTTAGTATTGTTGAGATAAAAAATATTTGAACAATAGTGTCTAATCTAAAATTGTTTAGTTTGCATGATCTTTATAGCCTTTTTTATTTATTTTTTGTATTATAGTTATCAATATATTACCTTGAATTGATTTTTCAGTTTTATAAACACTGTGACAAGTGGCAAAAGCAAGTTAAGAAAAATTCCAGTACTTATAAGGAACAAAAAATATTTGGCAATAGTGAATTAATGAATAAAACTCTTGAGTCCATATCTCAAAGGCTCAGTCTTAATAGAACATTGAGTTTAGGTTTGTAGTATGGGTAGTTACTGGCTTGCTTTGCTATTTGCTGCATTTATACTAAATTATATATTACCATCAGATACTATACACAATAGAATATTACTAAAAAAATAAATTCAATTCCATTAATTTTCTATTTACACTAACATGCATTTCCAACAAGCCAATCACTGGTACAACTGGTCTGTACCTGGCATGCCAGTTCACATTTAAACACCTGCACATGGCACATGTCTGTTGCAAGGAAATGTATTGGTTACTTGCTTGGTTATTTATGGCCTAACATTATCATATTTCTTACCCATTTTGGTTGAATTTCTTATGTGTTATGACTGACTGAAAATACTCTATTTTATAAGAAAATGCTTTTTTCACATCCTTGCAATTAGGCTTGCGTTTGTCAAAGTTAAAAATAAGTCGGATTAGAATGTTTTTTTTTTGTGGTATTTATATTTATATCATTATTTTATTCCAGATACTGTAGTTCTTATGTTTAAAATTTGTGGTTACGAAACCGCGTGGCGGAAAAATCATTTATCACCTTGGTGTTATGGATTTGATCGGAGTGGAGCAGAGGTAAATAAATATTTACCTTCATTAAAAATAAGATGGCTTACGAAAGAGGTTAATGATAGTCACAATCTAACAAATATTGAGAACTAGCTTTCGCTTGCTGCTCCGTCCGCGTGGAATTAAGAAACACAAAAGATTTTTTTAATTTATTAATATTTCCTTTAACCATTGCAACTAAGCTCTAGGCTTGTGCTAGGATATGGTTCACGACAATAGTCGAATGGCGGGATTCGAACCCTCGACCGCAAAATACCGCTCCATACCCCAGTTGCAGTTTAGGCTACAAACTCTAACAAACATCCATCTATCCATCTAAACTTTCGTATTTATTATGTTAGTATAGTTTTGGCACATTTTTTGATGAATTTTGATTTTTTTCTCGAGTCCTTTACTATGTGCTAAACTATTACATATTAGGAATGTTCCTATTATAATTCATTGAATATATGCTTTGATCCTTTATAATTTTTAATTAATTTGATTATTTTAGGTGTTGGAGTATTACATAGATTTGAAACATTATTGGTTGGACGGCTATGGGTATAATTTAACGTCCCAACAAGCTTGTATGTTGATGAAGAATCTCTTTGAGAAATTCAGGTAATAATGTAACATTTTTAGTAATGTTTCACTAATATTATAAAGAGGAAAGAGTTTTATTTTTGTATTTATTGCAATAACTCAAACACTACTGGGAGGATTTTAATAATACTTTCACCGTTAGAAAGGTAATTTATCTGTGAGTAACATAGGCTAAGCTTTTTATTATTTTTTAATTTCACGCGGACGAAGTCACGAGAACAGCTATGATATCAGTACCAAAGTGTGATTTTATTTTGAGAATATTTTTATTTTAAAACTTTACAAGTACATTTTCTTATGGTATAGTTTTTAAACGCCAATAGCCTAATGGTTTGGGGCACGGACCGATCTTGCGGTCGAGGGTTCGAATCCCGCCATTCGACTACTGTCGTGAACCATATCCTAGAGCTTAGTTGGAATGGTTAAAGAAAATATTAGTAAATTAACAAAAATCTACTAATATTTTAAAATAAAGTTGATTTTTTTTTCATATTTTAGTGAAGATGGACCGAATGCAACTTTTCTGTTTGCACATTCGGGTACATTATTGAAATTACTAACTCATATAGAAATGTACAAGACGCGTGCGCTGAAGGCGGATACTATGGATGTACACAGAACTTGGAGAACTTCTAACATCGACTGCTTTGCTTCTAACTTAGCTTTTGTGCTTTACAAGTAAGTTTTAATTCTTCAAACAGACATATATGTATGAGAAAATTACTTAAGTGATCGTTGAAGCTGTATGTGGCTATTAGAAACATCAACCCCACTCTTTAAAATAGAAATTTCTATAAATTAACTTTTCAATAATTTCTATACTAATTTCTGGATACAGAATTAAATGTAAGTCTTAAAAACAAACTAGAAAATCAATTATTAATTAATTATCCTTAGAATATGACTACTCAAATGTTGTGCTGCCAAATTTCTTGCTAATTTTTTGCATGCCAGTTTACGTTTAAACATTCCTGTAGCTATCACGTGCGAGTGTACAAGCTACTGGCATGTGTAATCGCTGAATTGCATGCCAGTACCTAGCATACAGTAACCAGAACAATAAGTAATTGGTATGCTACCCAATCCGGTAATAATAATGAATTAACGGCTCGTGCTGAGGCTCCTGGGGAACCCTCGAGCTTAGTTACTCATAAACGAGGTTTAGGCTATGCGCCATGCGCTCGGCCACCTCAAGCCCGGTGAATCTGTAAATCTTTAAGGCAAACAGTGACAAATCAGTCACAAAAAATGGTATGCTAGCTACATTTTACTGGTATGCTGACTATTGAATTTTACTGGCACGTGTACCCGCTCTTACGTAGTTTTATTATCAACAGATGTGAAGACGGTGATTATATATTGACTCTTCATCAAGAAAGGATTATCAAATTGCCGATGTGTGAAAAAGAACTTTGTCCTATAAAAACTCTGTGGAACTACTTTAAAGATTCTATAAACAATTGTGATATAGGAGATATTTGTAGACTTGATTAGTTTAGTTAGTTACATAAAAGTACTATCAGGGAATCTGACGGTGTTCCAAACGATACCGTCGGTGTAATGTATTGTACACATTGATATAGTAACGAATAGGACACAGCTTTTAAATGTGTACAAAAAGGTCGCTTTTTATCTCGTCGTTGCACAACTCATTACTACACGATCGGTTACTAGTAAAAGGCATTTTTCTGTAAGTGGATTACCGCAGGTTTTCCTAACTGTACATTTAATGTATGTAATGTATGTAATGCATTATGTTGAAACCATTTATTTTAATAATAAATTCCAGTGTTTATTTTTAATAACGTTGTTTTATTTCATTCCTAAACTAACTGAAACTTGAACTAGAATTATCAATCGCGTATTCTATTTGATAAACTCATGTTGGAAATAGCAATGTGTGTTTTATAATCTGATCCAATGAACTCATTAAACGTGAAAACTATACTAATATTATAAAGAGGAAAGATTTGTATTTATGGATTTTTGTATGTATAGTAATAACTCACAAACTACTGGGCCAATATTAAAAAAATATTGCACCATTAAAAAGCTATGTTTCAGTGAGTGACATAGGTTACATTTCTTATTTTATTAACACGTGGATGAAGTCGCGAGCAATAACTAGTACATAATATATAAAAAAGAGATTATACAAGAAACTTGAACATTATTTTTAAATTCAAAAACATATTAGCCGCCAAAGTTTAACGATTTATCACAGCCCGCTATAAAACACGACATTTTCTACTCAAAGTTACTTTGTATTTGTCGTTCGGGAAAACACGGACGTCGGAAAAATCGTAAAATCCTATTAACATATTCAGGCAAGTTGGAAAACGTACCAAATTTTCTAAACGACAGTCGACAGGAAGTTATTTATTTTTCTTTACAGTCGAGCACATTTTTAATTTCCGTTTTTTTTTACAAATTCAAATTGTATTTTCTTATCCATTGTACAAGATATGTTCTAAGAAAAAAAAATAGCTGTCTCGTAGAAGCAATTACGGAGGGTTCGGGACCATATCCGTTTTAGGGTCATGTCATTTTTACGCATCGCTACTAATCTATTTTGTACTAAGGCTTACAGGCAGTTCAAAGTTCATGGCTCCTCATGACGGATATCATTTAACGGTTCACTGTTCGTACGCATTTTCTAGATATATTCGGAATAAATGCCAAATTGTACGATAATAATCAAGGTATGTAGAATGTACATCTGGATGATTCTATCCATTGAACAAAATTGTAGATATAATTACAAAGACACGGGAAACCAGTAATGACTTATTTTTCAAACATTTCATTTATCGTAAAAATTACCAGTAAATCTAAAGCCTTGTTGTAAATGGACAAGCAATAAAATGTATTTGGTGTCAATTTGATTTCCACATTTTTGGCACTGACGATAGCGGTTTAGACTTATCTCATCAGTAACTTTAAAGTTAAAAAGGCCATTTTTAAAAAAGGCGTTCATAATCGAGGCAAAGCAAAAGCAGTTATTCTTAGCAAACTCTTATCCATCTATACAGATTAGCGATCTCAATGAATTGTTACTACAAGGCTCAAGATTTACTTTCCAATATGAATATCCATCGTAGGTTCATGAGAATCTCGTAAAAGAAATTTTTAGAACTTGTTAAAATACTACTAGTCTCTCAAGAGGTGTAAAAAAGTTGACATACAATTTTTGTATACCGGCTGAAAGAGACTCAGGAGTTCTAATCTAACATTTGGTAGAGCGATGTGTCAAGCGGTTCATTCCACGTATAGAACATAAATAGTTGAACTTTGCACAACACAGCGGCTTTCTAACGAGGGCTTTTGTCTCTTCGAGGCGCTTCATACAAATATAGAACTTGTCACAAAAGTGGAAGGTACATTTTACTTCATTTGAAACATTTTCCACATCGCTTCCGTTTGATACAAAAAAACCGTAAAAGATGTAGTTGGATGCTCATCGCTATAACGTCAGTTCGCAGCCAGACAAAGAACCCATTTATAGGTTTCTTTTGACCTTAATCTGTAATTTTTTGCGTCCGTTAAATTATATCTGATCTAAAACAAATGAACATATTAAGGTCTATTCTTTCCTTACAGTAATCTATCTATCTATACATATAAAAAAATGGAGTGTCTGTTTGTAATATCAAAAGAAAAATTTCAGATTTCGGGAAGATGATGTATTTGCGTTGCGGATAAAGAAAATCGCGTTAAAAGTTTTTTTGTCTGTCCGTCTGTCCGCAAGTCGCGTATATTCCTGGTTATTTCGACCGGACTTTCAATGAAGGGTAGCTGACATAGAGGGGCATATAAGAGGCTACCTTTTTATCTTAATATTGCGTGGACGAAGTCGAGGGCAATAGTTAGTATGCAACCAATGCGATATCTATATTAGGTAGATATTTCTAAAACCAGATATTATCTTTTGTCCAATATTTTTATTATAAAACCATACTTTGTATTTTACGTGATGACATAAAAATGTCGCGAATAGAAACGATAAAAATCTTACAAGCTTGGTTACAATGATGTATCAGTTTGTGATAATAGATACCGTTTTCAGTATCATTATAATTATTTTAAAGTTCTACTTTTAAAACTGTAATATTAGATTGTATAAAAGGTGCGCTTACTTTAGGAAAAACGATCTTTATGTACTTAAATTCAGGCAACAGCTAAGGGTGATGGACAGAAAGGGGCGCCACAGGTCTATGATTTACGTATTCTCATTATGCCCTACCTCCTTCAATAGTGTTGAAAAGGGGCACTGCAAATCTCGCCCAGGGCGCTAGTAATCCTTAACCCTTAAGGACGATTTTATTTTTTTAAATACCATAAATTTAAACGGGTAGTTGAACATAGATTAAGGGAAAAAAAAAGGTTTTTTTGCAAAATATTTCTATTGGGTAAGAAAAGACTGATGTATTAATGCATCATCCTGCTAATAAGGGTTAAGATGGTATGATTAAATGTATTCCTTTTTGTTAATATTTCAAGGAATTTTTGAATAATTTCGAGCAAAAGTCCTTTAGCCATAAGCTTACCAATTCATGTTATTAGGTTTGAATTTGTTTCGTGCTCGTGATGATTCGACTGTTTACGATAATAAGCAACGGAAGTAATTTCACAGTTCGACGCTTTCCATCGTGATTGAAATGAAAAGATCCGTTTATAACAGAACAAGGGGGACGCGTGAATTTGTTAATGTCATCAAGCCTTTGTACTGACGAGGTAACAACTAGGTCAAGGAGAATGTAACGAAATTGGCTATCATCGTCCTATTTATTTCCAATTTTTGTGCCAGATATCTGCAAGAAATATAAATAAAAACCGAAAAGAATACTACGATAGTACAATTAATGTAAAAGTTTTTAATATAAATTATTTAGGAAATACTTTACCCTTTATAATTAAACACTTATTATACAACTTGCTTTCGCCCACACCTCCGTTCGCGAGGAATTAAAAAACAAAAGTGAGTAGCCTATGTGTTCTTCCAGGCTATCCTCTATATCTTTAGCAATTTTCATCGAAATCCGTTCAGCTGTTTCGGTTACAAACTCTTACAAACATCGACCCATCCATCCATCTAAACTTTCATATTTAGAATATTAGTATTAGTATGATTATTTTATAAATCTAAGTAGAAAACTCAATAAATTTTTAGCGAATAGTCTGAAATGCATAGTGCGTTTAACTTTTAATTAACTCGTGTGTGTAGTTCAAACTTCGAACTGTGTTTGACAGTTAAATATCGTTCGTTTTAAATACAGATTTTTTTTCGACTGCGAATTATTTTTTATTAATCCAATCGTAAGAACATTTATCACACTAATATTTTAATGTGATAGTTTAGATAGATGGATGGGTGTTTGAGTTTGTAGCCTAAACGGCTTAACGCATTTCGATGAAATTTAATGTAGATGTAGAGGATAGTCTGGAAGAACATATAGGCTATTGATTTGTATTTAATTTAGTTCAAAGAAAGCTAGTGATTTAATAAGTAAGTAAAGAAGCGATTTCAAATTTCGAATTAAATGTAACAATGTGCGTAAAATGTCAAATGAACAGCTTTTTTATGACTTCAAAATTTTTGGTTATTATTTAACGATGAGTGTTACAATAACGCGTAATTAGGTCAGGTACGTGTTTAATTTGGTAAATAAGCACAGGAAAGCGCCACGTGTGACTTTTTATCGCCCATTAATATAATAACTGCTCGAAATGAACGCACAATATTTCATCGGTAATCACAGTGGCAAAGATTATAAATTGTAACTGAAGTTATCGCTTTGTTGAGGTTTGATAAAATTTTATTTTTTTATTAATGAATTCAACGAAATAGAGAAGCGACCATTTAGATTGCAATTACAAATGCGTTACCTATTGCCTACCCTTAACCAACGGAGGACACGCACACAAAGTGGATGTTTACTATGTATATATCTTTCACCGTCAAATCCACTATCCTTTCCTATTCTTTCCTATATGAAAAGGGTGGAAAGGGACTAAAAGGCTTCTGGGATGCACACTCATCAGAGGAAACATGGAATTGTCTCCACTTCACGCCTGTCTTCTGTATGATTGTGGTATTGCACCGAGCGAGCCGGGCCATTCTTTAAAATATATCGCAGGCTACCACTGTTAACCTGCTCGTAAGTATGAAAGGCTAATCATGTTCTCTAATAAAGTGATTATCTGTCATCAGTAATTATCACAGATTATAAATTTTAAAACATTAAGTATTAATTCTTGTAGGCGTATACTTGTTGTTGTTTCGTGCGGTACGATGTACGGATAGCAAAATAGATTGATAATTATATCCAGTCCCTTGATAAAAGTAACTAATACTTGGCAGGCCGTAGACAAGAGTTATGGTGTCACAATGTTGGCAATGCTGCACGGGCAGTCTGCCATGCGAGGGTTCAATGACATTTTGTGCGTAACCTAGCCTAACCTTTTAAAGTTTGTTTATTAATAATGATTCGATTTATAAATATAATTCAAAGTTACAGAGAAATGTTGAATTATTTATGTGTTTTTTTCTATAATTGAACTGCTTTACTAAGTTATTTTAAGTTTTTTATAAACACTCCTTAAAATTGTTTAAGATATTTAGAATACAGTAGGTAATATTATAATGTATGCAAGATTAAAAAACGGTTCTAATGTCTTTTGAGACGGAATAATGGTATATAATGTTCTAATTATAAATATAAAAAGAGTATTGTTGTACTTTGAAAACTTTTAAAGTAGAATCGTACTATTTTATTTAACTTGGAACGAGTTTTAAACGTAAGTTGTAACTAACTTTGAAAAGGAAACTTTATTTTCTTAAGACGTTCGGCTTTGGTACTAAATATGTATTCTTGTAAGTTGTTGCTTGGCCATTTAACTTAAAGTACTTTGTAACTTATAGCAATAGTTTATACAAAATTAACGAAAACGGTTGTCACTTATTTTATTTATTTATTCATTCCAAATATATTAAATACAGTCTTGTCTTTTACTTTAGGTTCTTAAACCTTTTGGTTTGTGGGAACCCTGTACATTCTCCATGGGTAGCTTACTTTACTACTTTACTTAAACTCTAAGATTCGTCGTATAAAAGAAGTTATTACCAAAAAGAAATGGAAACATTAGATTTTTTTACATCTTAACTGCGTATTTTTTTGTTTATGACGTTAATGAGAATTTTGTGTACAAATATGCTATATGGCGAAAAAGATAAGTACCATCACAAGTACCTATAGTTTAAATTCTTGTTTGAATTTAGAATATTCTTACTTTAGAAATTAAAAATAAATGTATCGAAAAAGGATAGCAGTCGTATCAATGTAAACACACGCAGGTGCGTATTCAAAAATAAACGGATACGCAATTTGGCGCCGGATTCAACAATACAATAGCCAACAATTTTGACTGCACAAAGAACGAGTTAATCTATTTTCTCTTTTATATTTCGTTACTCGATTACGTCAATTGAAAAATGAAATATAAATCAAAGAGAATGACCAGACGCCGGTTGTAAATACCTTCATTTCTTGATAATGGAAAAGTTTTGTGAGATCCACGTTGTTTAATGGCTCGCTACTGTTTCCAGTCGTTGAGTTTAACGGTGTCTAGGGAATTTCATTACAGAATTGAGATGTCAATGTAGGAGCGTTACCTAGGTTTTGATTGTGCCTATTGTTTAATACATTCTTATTTTAATAGATACACTCTCTGTTGTTCATTTGTCTTTAAAAATATCTGTCAGTTAGATGTCAAAATGTACGAATTTGTTAGGATGTTTGATCACAATTATTCTTACAAATGCAAATCGTCCTCCATAGCTATAGAACTTACGTCATGTCTGATTTGAAGAGATATCGGCTTATCGTTTTGTCTAAAGTTTCCTGTGCTGTACAAACACAAATACAGGAAATCGGTTTATTTAAGTTCGTGAAGGCGGTCTGTTAGCGAATTTCGCTTGGCTTTGACTATCGTAAATTAAGGAATTTGGGTGGAAAAAATGTTTACAGACACAGTGGTATGGTTAACATTATTCATCCAATAAAAATCCGATCTGGTAAGCATCCGACGTCGATATTTATGTTTCGACTGATTAATCGCATCATTGTTACGGGGTCGGTTGTTATGGAGGCACGGGAGCGTTGCTTCTTGCTTAGCCGGCTTTAACGTCTCTTTTACGGCCGAAGTAAATAAGGCGTAAGATCATTATGCAGTCGCGTTAATTCTGACTGCAGTGTATGCCCGCCGGTCTCGGGAGTCACGCGCACACGCATGTTGTCTTGTCTACGTGTTTGCCTTGGATGGATGAATCCGCGGTTCTACTATCTCCGTTTGACTATCGTGTGACAGGTGTGTCTGTTCTTTTTGACTGTTATTATTTTTTATCTGTGATTTTTTAGTTCAAGTGCTACACTTTATCTCTACCGAATAAAGTTTTGATCATATTTTTTTCTGCTTCGTCAGTGTTTTGGATATCGTTAAAAAGATTATCGTTAAGTTTGAGTAAAGCTGTTACGCTATTTAACGATATCGTAAAACGTATCAAAGTATTTAAAAGTCATTAAAATATTTTTTTATAGCTGGCTGGACAGAAAAAAATTTACACAAAATTGTCTATGATAATTAAAAAAATATTATTTACGACCAATTTGCTTATGTTTTGTTTACCTAGTTTTTGGTTATTTTTACCTTATTTTTTTTATTTGAACGGTACTTTATTTCCAGAATAATGAATTTAAAATTGAATAACGAAGTCCGTGGTTCTATCAGTCTTTTGCCGGCCCCTCCAGTGTCGTCTATTAAGGTGAGTGCATTTACATTTTTAGCAAATCGAAATGTCGAAGCGAAGAACCGAGGTAATCTGGATTCTATAACTAACAACTCATTCAACAAACAGATTAACAGGCGATGTGTTATTTTCATTTACGAAAGAAAAGATTTAATGAGTGTCGAAAATTTTAAGAGAAAGCATGCACATGCATGACGTTTTTAAAAACATTTGGCTTCTTGATTGAAAGTGTTTATTCAAAAATTGCAAAATTTAATGTTTCTTGAAAATAAAAATAACCTTGACATAGTCTTGATTGTTTTTGACTGATTTAATAATTAAAAAAAGTTATTTAAGAGTGCAATTAGGTTGTCACGATGCTAACACTATTCTTACAGATTTTTAAGTCTTTGTGCTTCAAAATTTGCCAAAATTATACTAAAGATAACGTATCACGTAAATATCAAAGAATTTATAACTACTTAATTGTTACAAATCTGCTTTTTAAGTATCAATAAGTTAATAAAAAATGATATAGTTAACTGCCTCCTTTATAACGTAAATGCATTATTAATAAATTATCGACGCACGCAATCTAATGGCAAAAAACTTAATAAAGTAATTCAGACACGTGTTAAAACTTCACACCTACTCATTCTAATTTCCATTCGTACAGAGTACTTTTAGTTAAATATTTTCTTTTCTCAGTAAAGGCACGTCTCGCGGATCGAGCGAGCATACGTCGATATTTCGGTCAATTTGTGTTTTTGGATTTTTATATCCAATGTCTTAAGAAGTCTCAAAGTTTTCCCTTGTGCTGTTAGCAGTGATGTTTACATATGTACGTATATTTAGACCTGAAACTGAAGATTTTTTTCATAAATATTATGTGAGTAAAATAAATAATATTCACAATTTGTTTATTTATAAAATTCTTATGTATTTGCAAAGATTTACCTAACATTAATCTGTTATTTTAAAGGAAGACATGTTACAAAGATTTTTTGTCTGGTACTAAAAATAGGTATTATGTAGTAGTGAGGAATGAAGCAGCTATCCTAAGACCGAATTAACGTGTTCGAAAACATAAAAAATACTTAAAACTTAAATCTAGTATTTAGATATTTTATGTTAACTAGTATTGGAAAACAAAAAAACAATAAATAGATATGTACCTCTATGACGTATGTACAAAAGAACTCTGTTAAAAAGCATTATTAAGGAGATCATTACAAAGTTATTAAGTAATAAAGAATAACATTTTCATATCTTTTAAACTGATGTTACTACGCTACAGTTGACTTTGAAGTTATTTTTGATTTTAGATTTTAATATTTGCACTATGGCAGTTGTTTCTTTTTTGACCAAATCACTGTTATTTACATTACATCTACGCTAATTAGTCTGTCTAAATGGCAGTTTTACTAAGAGCAAGACACACTCATATGAAGTCACTTGAGCTCTCAATGACCTGAGGACGACACCTTTTGTGTCTCATATAATGTGATTTGCGTAAGCAAATTTAAAAATAAACACATCAGACTTGATGATTTCAGACGAGACGAATGGACAGTCTAACTGTGAGCTACCATTAATCTAACGCACACTAATTAGTGCTTTATTGCTACGTGCATCACTTACGCACAAAGACGCCTACGCATTCGAATTTATTTATGACTGTCTGTGACCGACTTTGTCTATCTAAAGATGGACCCAACTGTCAGGCTTTTGGGTTCCAAGAAATATGTTTTATATTACTATTCCATTTCATCAACTGCATTCATAAATTGACTTCTTTTTTGGACAATAAAAGATAATAAACGGTAGTTGATTTATAAAAACATAATGCTCTACACAAAAATAACTCATTATATTTTGTATTTATTATGGCTACTTATTTCCAAAGATATAATCATTTGAAAACACAATATGTAGCTACGAATTCCTATAACGTTTGTGATACACGCAAAGCACTTTATATACTTTTTTCTTATTTTTTATAGGGAATTTGGTTCATTAGAACAAGTAATTTTACTTATGGAGTTATTAAAATTCATCGTCCCTTATAACTTGACGTCAGACTAATTAAAAGAATAACCTTACTGTCTTGTTTCAGGAGGAACGGCGACGTACCGGTCGCTACATAGCTATCTTAGTTGGCATTTCGTTGCTGATTCTGGCCATCTACCATGCGTGGGTACGCCGCATACCAGTCGTGGCCAGTCTCGTTGTGCCCGCACTCATCATGTTCGTCTACGTCGGATGGGTGCTGTATACTGCATCGAGAGACAAACACAAGGTAACTTTATAACCTTTGAAATAAATCAAAGATACTTCAATGAAGAACTAACCTTTTGGTTAAAGTTAGGGCCTGCCCCACCAAATTGTAAATTCTGATAACAAAACAACGTGTAAAATATGTAATGGAAATATCGGATTTACCTTATCTGACAGTGACGTCATTTTTAAGCTATCTGAGCCTTTATCAGTCAGTGGTGGGACAGGCCTTTAATATCCTAAAACATCTATAGAGACGATCAAAAAGTTTAATTGAATAAAATGATCAATTTTATATACACGATAATAGTACGTAAAAAGTTATGTTACAGTAAGGTAAATTGTCTACTATCTACTATATATATTTTTTATGAGTTAAAACATGATGATTCATCTAGATATAAAAAATGTTGAAAATTGATGAACCGGTTTTCATCACTGGCTAAATCTCAACATAATATTAACAGTGTTTACAACATGTGTGAGAACGATGTTCTTGACTTTGCATGTGTATTCTAACATCATAACTAGGAGTACTTTATAAACAGTCCGTCAATGCGGACAGAGCGTCAATCGACTATACCTCTGTTAGATGTTTACGCGAGTCTACATAGCCCGGCCGCTGACTCAGAATGTTTATATAAATTACTAACCGTACCTGTGTACAGTTTTGATAGTGTATACTAAAGAACATGCTAACATTTACGACCGACCTTTTTGTATGTTAGTTGAGTTAACAAAAGATTTCCAGTTAATGTTCTTCAGAGATATTAGTTCTGAGATTTCTGGGTGTAGCTCTCTTTTCATACTCTTTTATAGAACAATTACTATTTTTTGTGTGTAAACGAGCTTAAAATTTACTTTTTCATCTCCTGTAGTCTCTATACTAGGTCATAGAGTCAAGTAATTTAAAAAGTAGGTTAAATTTATTATAGAATATTAAAAATTTATAGCGTCACTAAAGTATGTGTTTATGGCTTGAAATTTGAAATTTTACTACTACCGCATATGAAGTCATAAAACTTGTTCATTGGAGATATTTTTCATGTAGAGCAAAAGAGAATTAAATTCAGCTTTACTGGACTTAATTAAAATGGGATTCGGTCCTGCGAGTTGCAGATTACTCCAAACAATGTTGTACGAATGTATTTCGAATTTAATAACATTTTTGAAGTAGAATGGTTATGAAATTTTAAACATTGTCGAACCCTATATGACGATTGTGGGTCAAAAAATGGGATACATCGGTAGAGGTAGAGCTGGAAAGAGATGAACGGATTGCGTGAAAGGTGACATGATCAAAAAGGGAGTGATAATTGAGATGACTTATGATACAGTTAAGTGGAGGACAAAAACTTGTTGCGCCGACCTTACGGGAGTAGGATAAGCAGAAAGATGATGATGGGTCAAAAATGTATGCAAAAAAGTTTGAGTGCTACAGATGATATTTTTCTTAAGACATTCACCTGTAACTATTTTTCGATATTCAGAGATATCTACTAAATATGTGGAGTATAAAAATTATAATAGAAAAAAACCCTTTCGCATTGTTATTAGATAATATCCTTAAATTTGATGTTTATTATTGTTTTATAGTGTGACGTGCGCTGTTTATTGCGTGAGTCGGGCCAACATAATAATTGTTTTTCATATCCTTTGAGGCCTTTCCTTTATGTCTCGTTTAATATTTTGGCCGCCAACCAAACGGTGGTAGTACGGCATAATTGATTTCACACTGATTTGTTTTAAGTAAACGTAAATCTTGTTCTTCTATATTTAAAACAATTAAATGCAAGGAATGTATAAGTATTAGATTTATTATAGGATAAAAATGTCGAAATAAATGTGTTACGAATTATAAGACAAGTTTCAAATATCCTAGCGCTTAGACTTGTTTTAGAACTTTGATCGTTTTTTTTAATAGTGCTTTGTATGACTCGATATGATTTTTATGTTAAGTGGATTTGTTCAAAGGGAACGTACCTGGGAAATATATGCAGTATTTTTGTAAAAAATATTCTGTGTGCTGACGAAACAACCGCATGGAAATGTTTGCACCGTTGAATGATTTTTCCTAACAAAAATAAACGTAATAGTTGAAGCGCGAAACGCTACGTGTTTCCGGAACCATATAGACCAAGAGCCAGTGGACGATAGACTTCGTTGTAAAAATGCAATTGCAAAAATCCAATTCGGACGTTTACCTCGAATTTTAACGAAAACATCCGAGTTCTATATACAAATCGCCGAATCGAAGTTAGACACCGTATTTGTGTTTTCAATAGTACCGAGTGTTTTTTTTTTTGAGATAATTAAGATAATTGAGATAATTTAAATAAAAAATTACATTTAGCAGACACATCTACCAATCTATTAATTTCTACTTCTTGCAGTATTTTCCATAGGAATCGTAAATTATACAAGAAAGTACAACTTTAGGTTGCCGGGCTCTTGCACTAAAAGTATAACGAAACGTCCAATCGTATCGTAAAGTTCTTCAGAAACTCCAAAGTAACCGCACAGAGTGTAGTTAGCGATGTTCATTATATAAACACTGGCGGAGAACTACGGTCGTATTTTCACTATACAAAAACATGTAAATAACCAACATCTGAATAAATAAGAAAATGGATGCTAAATAACAGGGTCATGGTAGACGGTGATAGCAAATGGTTTACTATACACTATACCATCACTAAAGACGCTTATAGTAAGGTAAAGCATTTGGTCTCGTCTATAAAAACAAAAATGCCTTTTTTGTAATTTTAATGAAATTTAAAAGAGGGGGTATCCTAAATTACTCTGTTATAATTGTA